GGAAGATCTGCCATTTTCTGACTGCAAGGCGTTCCTCTCAGCCTCCTGCACTTGATGCAGTTCTTGATGTGACGGCCCACAGCCGATCTTCCTTTCACAATCCAGTATCCAGACATCCGGATTTCGCTCAGCGTCAGCTCCCTTCCTGAGTGACACGTCCTCTCGTGGTAGGCTGCAACGACAAGACGAGTCACGTGATGAACCTTTGGCAAGATCACTGGATGTACCACGTCGAAGGGCTGTCCACTCCTCTTCAGCCTTCCTCCGACGCGCAGGAGTCCGTCATCTGCAACGAAGGGATCCAGTCGGTACAGATGACTCCGTTTCTTCACTCGAACTTCAGTTGAGGGCTGAGATATCGTCAGAGTCGCAACTTCGTCCCCAAACACCTGCTGCTGCACACTCTTCAGTATGACGAGCTCAGCTCTCTTCATCTCTTCTGCTCCAACTGGTGATTCTGTCAACGATGGAACAAGTTCAGCGTCACTGCTTTGACGTTTTTGTCTCACTCGCTCCAGCAGACGTCTCCCGTATCTGATACAGATCGCGATCGCTCGTCTTGCCCTGAACCAGCTAGAGAACACGACTAGCCGGTCAGACATGTTTGGAAAACCTTCGACCTGTTTGGAGCGCGTAGTCAGAACTGTTTTCTTCTTGACCTCCGGGTCGTCATCTTGGAGTTCAATCTGAGTTGCTTCATTCGGAACTTCTCCTGCTTGAAGAAACTTCGGTCCACGCCACCAGAGATCACAGTCCTTGATGGCCGCTGCCTGCAGTCCTCGGGAGGCCAGATCTGCTGGGTTTTCATCTGACTGTACATATCTCCACTGATCGGAAGTGGTGTGTTGTCGGATCTGCTGCACGCGGTTCGCGACAAACACGTGAAATCGCCGGGTTTCGTTGTGTATATATCCTAGAACGACCTGACTGTCCGTCCAGTAGTAGTGCTCGATGCCTGTGATGTCGAGCTCCTCTTGCAGAAAGCATCCAACTCTCACGGAGAGAGCGGCCGCCATCAGCTCCAGTCGAGGAATTGTAGTCGATCGCTTGGGAGTCACCTTTGACTTGCTCATCACAAGACACGTCGCAATCAGGTCGTGTTCGTCTTTCATACGGAGATAGGAGCACTGCCCGTATCCGACGGTACTGGCGTCAGAAAAATGATGCAGTTCGTACAGCTTCATCTTGCCGCCGCCAGGTTTGTAGCATCTTGGTATCGGTGTCTCTGAGAGAAGGAGCACGTCTCTCTTCCAATCCAACCAACGGGCCACTGTCTCTTCTGGGACAGCTTCATCCCAGCTGTATCCGTCGCAGCACAACTGCTTGATGATTCTCTTTCCCTCCAAGATCACTGGGGAGACGAGACCCAGTGGATCATACAGCGAAGAAACTGATGATAAAATCCCTCTTCTCGTCATCGGCTTGTCCGGAATCACAGCGTGAAAGCTCAGCGTGTCTTCCACCGTATCCCACTTGATACCCAGGGCCTGCTCGAACTGACCTGAGTGCTGGCGACCGACTTCCACCGATGGGTCGCACCCAGTGGCACCAGGCGACAGTGCTTTTAGCACCGACGGTTCGTTCGACACAAACTTGTGAAGCGTGAAACCGCCTTCTGCACACAGCTGGACAGTGTCACGGGCCAGCCGTATAGCAGCATCCGAGCTTTCCACGCTTGTGACGCCGTCATCAACGTAGAAGTTTCTACGTACAAACTCGGACGCTTCTCTTCCGTGTGTCGGTTCATACTTTTCTGCTATCATGTTCAGCGCGTACATCGCGCACGCAGGCGATGACACCGCACCAAACAGATGAGTGGTGACCCTGAACTCAGCTGGCTCTCGACTCGTGTCGCCCTGTTCCCACCACAGAAATCTCAACAGATTCCTGTGCTCCTTGCTGACACCAACCTGGTTAAACATCGCCTTGATGTCGCAGCTCAGAGCCACTCTTTCTTTCCGAAATCTCACCAGGATTCCTGCCAGACTGTTCACGTAGTCCGGGCCCTGGAGCAGCTCGTTGTTCAATGAAGCACCTTGATATTCCGCGCTGCAGTCGTAAACTACACGTATTTTGTCCTTTCTCGGATGAACGGCAGCATGATGGGGAACGTACCAGGTCTTTCCCTCTTTGACGTCGTCGTCGTCTGGGACACATTCAGTGTATCCTGCTGCGAGCGACTCGTTCATGGAGTTCTCGTAGGCGTCCTTCAGACCAGGATCTCGGGCAAACCTTCTCTTCAGACTGTGTAGACGTTTTATGGCCAGGTACCTGTTGTCTGGAAATGTCACTTCTGGATCCTTCAGAGGCAGTGGTCCCTCAACATGACCATCCTCCCGCTGGTGGAACTGTTCCTTCATCACCTTCTGGAACTTCCGGTCGTCCTGAGAGACTTTCTTGTGAGCGCCTTCATCCAGAAAGTCCGCTTCCAGCATGCGTGCCACTTGCATCGGGCTCACTTCCTGCACACGCGTCTTGAACGCAAAGTGGCATACAGACACTTCATCTGGCCCTACGCGCGCACAGTGACACGTCGAAGTGATGTTGGGCCCGTGCGTAATACCCACGATGGTCCACCCCAGCTCCGTTCTCATTGCCCAGGGATCGTCACTGTCAACTGAAACCACCTCTTTCGGCTTCAATGCGCGTGCGCAGTTCACGCCTATGAGCAGGCCAATTTCAGCTTCAGGGAAGTATGGGGGCAGTTCTTCCTCCAGATGAGCCAGATGCCTCCAGTTTCGAGCTGTTTCTCGCTTCGGTATCAGCCACCTTTCTGCCGGTATCTCATCACGAGAATACGTCGCAGGTAGCATGATACGCTCCGGTGCATTCAGTCCCTGAACTGACAGGTTTGTCACTCTCTTGGTCACAACTCTGGTCTTGCCCGCTATGGTGCTGAGCTGAAGAGTCACGTCTTCTCCTTGTCCAGAGACCTGTCTGAGCGTTGATTCTTGAATGAAACAGGCATCCGATTGAGGATCTAGCACAGCATAGACTGTCAGCTGTTGTGACGGTTCCAGCTCGTTGCGCAGAATGACCGGCACGATCATGGTGTGAGAGCATGGTGGCACGAACGAGGCGTTGCGTTCAGCTCCTTCACCTTCAACCGCAACCTTCAGGGACGTAGCTTGGGTCTGAGTACATCTGTTCGTGTGTGACTTGTATTGTCTTCTGTTGTCACCTACTGCTGCTGCCATCCTCTGTCCTGTCGACGCGCCTCGCGTTCCTGCCCTTGCGTCGTCATGAAGCAACGTCGGATGAGAGCGTCCACATCTGTCACAGCTTCGCCGACTTCGGCAGTCTCTCCAGATGTGCCCTCTGCACAAACACCCTCTGCACAGCCCAAGTCGTGTTACAGCGTCATGTCGCTCGGACACTGACATGTTCTTGAATGTCTGGCAGGATTCTACAGGATGCAGTGACGAACAGATCCTGCAGAGTCTGGCAGTTCTGTCTGTCTGTCGTGCATTATCTGACTCTTGACGTGGTGCTGATGTCCTCCCATTGGACGAAACGGACGAGAAGAACGTGCGCGCGTTCTCCTTCCTGCGTTGGCCAGCATTGGTCGTTCGTCTTGTTCCACCAGCTTCGTCGGACCTGTCCAATACCGGGCCGCACGCCACTCTTGCTTCCTTGCTGAGGAAGTCCGCGAACTCTGCAAACGACGGATAGCCGGGAGAACAACCTTCTTGTGGCTCGTACAACCTGACGTCAACCACGCGTCTCCACCTGTCGACGATGTATCGTGGCAGTTTTTTGAGGATCACGTTGTTCTCATCCACTGAGTCAAGTGAGGCCAGTCCACTCACATGTCTTGATGCTGTCTTACAGCTCTCGAGGTAGTCAGCTAGTTGTCTCAATGCTTTCCCGTCGCCGGGTCGAACTGCAGGCCACTCATGGATGCGCTTGCGGAAGGCATTGGCAGTTATGAAGGTGTTACCGTACCTATCATGGAGTTTCTTCTTGGCATTGTCGTATGCATCTGTAGTATTCAGGTGCAACAGGCTTTCAATCATCGATCTGGCTTCTCCTCTTGTGTATCTGGACAGAAAGTGTAGACGCTCCTGCGGGCAGGCTGTCCTGTTCTCGATGTATGTTTCAAAGCTGTTCATCCACAGATGGTACCTCTCCTCTTCTCCAGAAAACACATCTGGCTCGATAGCTGGTAGACGGGCGCGCTTGCTCTGCTCCACCAGCAGCTCGGAGAGACCTTTCAACACATTTGTTGTGTTGTCGTCTTGATCTTGTTGGTCATGATAGGGAGGCTGGCCGCGTGGCTGAAAACTTGGTGCCTCCACATTCAAGCTACCTCCAGCAGGTCCAGTCGCTGCTGCGGCGTGCGACTCACTGGGAGGCATGCCAGGTGAGGTTAACATCGGTCTTGCTCCACTTGAGGGTCTCTGTTCATTACCCTCCTGAGACAGCATCCTCTGTTCTTCCAACACTGCTTGCTGTGCTTGTGGTTCATTTGGTGGGCCGTCTTCTGTAGCGCTATCATCCAGTTCTCTTTCAAACCTTTCCACGACTTCCTCTTGCATTTCTTGAACGGCCATCTGAGTCTCCAGCTCCAATGATTCCTGTTTCTGCACTCGAGCTCTTGGCGCTGTCTATCCAGATCCTGTTTTCTGTTCAACATCTTCAGCTTTGCTTGAATCTCGGCCTTGTTGTGTTCCGCCTGGATGCGCATCAGCTGGAGACCAGACTTGACTGACTTAGAGGAACCAGATTTTGTTGACACGCCAGCGCGTGAGAGTGGTTTGACACTTGTTTTCTTCAGTGTGCTCTGGTACTCTTCAAGAGCAGTCTTAATCTGGTTCACAGTCTCCATGGTTTTCTTATGTGTCTCAGTGTGTCTCTGAAAGTCTTCTGGGGAGAGAAGATGCTGAAGATCTTGTTCCACCTGTCCCAGAGAAATGTAGGTGTGAATCCATTTAGCAACATCTTCTTCCATGATGCCCGGGAGTGTCTCGACTGAAGTATCATCATGCCGCATGTAGAGGAACACAGCTGTTCAGTTTGCCACTCTATTTCAGAATGCCGCGCGGGCCGGCTGACCCGCGCAGACGATGACACAGCGGTACAGTCTAACAGACAGGCGCACGCACACCGCGCCCTGCGCACGCGCAGCCGCCGCGCGGCCCCGCGCACGCGCAGTCGTCGCATGGACCACGCCCAATTACCGTACATTACTTTCCCACGTAAAAGTTTGGTTTGTTCCGCACACGAACCGGATAGCGACGCGCGAGCTCACTGCGGTTGCCCGTAGAAACAGACGCGTCATCGGGCCGCGACAATGGCACCGGCGCCGTCCGCTGAGATTGCGACAGCGGCACTCGGCCAGATAGCGGCGATGACGGAACGGCAGCGCCCGAGACCTCGCGCTGAGTCGGCTCAGCAGACGACCCAGCAGCAACACCAGCCAGCTCGCCAGACGACCCAGCAGACGGCTCGGCAGACGACCCAACGGCAGCACCAGGTGCCGGCGGCCGAACGAGCGCCGCGGCGGGCGGCCGTTGAACAGCGTCGGCGGCAGCCGGTAGCCAGCCAGAGTGAGCTCCCTCAGCGCCGCCGCCAGATGTCACCTCTCCGCTCCGGCTCAGGTCAGGTAGCTGACGATATCCTGTGGACAGGGGTCGGCGTCTCAGTTCATCGACCTGGAGATCGATCTCTTTTGGCTCTCGTCCTCTTTCACGAAGTTGATCGATGTGACGTCTCCAGCATCTCCCGTCTTCTAATCATACCACATACGACACCGGTCCATCGATCGCACAGATAAAGCCGGGTACCCAAGGACGACCCACTGAGAAATTTCTTGCATAAACCTGGTCATCTATGTCAAAAGTGCGAAGCGTACGCTTACCGTCATGGTTTTGTTTTTGGCTCACTTGACCTTTGACCACCGTCGCCCGGATGCTCGGCCGTAGAAGGTCCAGCTTACTCCGCAGCCTCCTGCCAAGCATCAGCTCTGCGGGCGGAACACCAGTTGTTGACTGAGGGACAATGTGTTGATGAAGGAGCCAATTTGCGAGACACAGATCCCATTGTCCCCCGCCAGAGCGCTGCAGCGCTAGCTTCACTTCTCTCACCATCCTCTCTGCCAAACCGTTCCCCTGACTGTGTCCTGGTTCTATCGTTTTGTGCTCTACGCCGTTCCCACGCAAAAACTCTTGGAACTCCTCAGAAGTAAATGCTGTCGCATTGTCTGACACGAGTACATCAGGAAGGCCCCAGCGTGAAAACATTTTTCTCAATTGAACAATGGTGGTCCTCGAGCCAATACTGTGACACAGTTCAGCCTCTACCCATTTTGAGTGAGCGTCCACCACAACCAATCCTCTTACCGGCTCAGCTTAATCAATGTGAATCCTGGACCACGGGCGGTCCGGCCAGGGCCACATACTCAGCGGTGCGCGGTCCGGTGCTGGGCGGCTCTCCTGGCATGGCTGGCAGCTCCGCACGACTTCCTCGATGGCGGCATCGATGCCCGGCCACCAGACGTAGCCTCGTGCCAGCGCCTTCATGCGCCTCATCCCGGGGTGGGCAGCATGTAGCTCGGCCAGTACCTCGCCTTGTGCCCTCTCTGGAATGATGACACGGTGTCCCCACATGAGGACGCCTGCGGTGACTGACAGCTCCAGTTTCCTGTCGGTAAATGATTTTGGCACATCGTCACCTTCACACCAATCACCATACTGCACACTCTGCAGCACTCTGCTCAACGTCCGATCCGTAGCTGTGAGTCGGGCTATCTTTTTTGCGTCGATTACGCGACTGTCCACCATCAAGACCAGCTCTTCCGGTTCACCTGATTTGCCTAAAGGTAACGGAAGACGGGACAGAGCGTCGGCATTTCCCATGCGATCAGTCGGTCTGTGCTCAACGCTGTAACTGTATGTCGACAGCTTCAGCGCCCACCGTCTGATCCTAGCAGAGGTCATGGTCGGTAAGTCCTGATGTTCTCCGAACAGTCGTAACAGCGGCTTGTGATCTGTTACCAGCTTAAAACGGTTCCCGAGCAGATAGTTGTGAAATTTGCACACGCCGAACACAATGGCTAGAGCTTCTCTGTCAATCTGTGCATATCTGCGCTCAGACTCTGTCAGAGTACGCGATACATACCCCAAAGGCCTCTCTGATCCGTCAGCCTCTCGATGCGCCAGTACCGCGCCGATGCCGACGGGAGAGGCGTCACAGACCAAGACGAGCTGCTGGCCACTCCTGTAGTGCGCCAGAAATGAGTCCGACGTCAGGGCGTTCCGCGCCCACTGGAAGCTCTTCTCCTGCTCGGTACCCCAGCGCCATCTGGAATCTTTCCGGAGGAGCTCGTACAACGGGGCCAACTTGTCAGCACGGGAGGGCAGATACTTTGCGTAGTAGGTCACCATTCCGAGAAAACTTAGCAGCTCCTTGACACTTTTAGGAACTGGAGCATCCCTGATAGCTCTCACTTTGGCTGGCGTCGGTCTGATGCCATTCCTGTCGATCAGATGCCCCAAATACTCCACTTTTTGCATCATGAACTGACACTTGGATGCACGTACCTTCAGTCCAGCTTCTTGCAAGCGGCGGAGGACCTCGTCCAGCGTCTTCAGGTGCTCTTCAGTGGACCTACTGCTCACCAAAATGTCATCGAGGTACACGGCAACAGATGGCATGCCGCTCAACACCTTTTCAATCTCTCGTTGGAATATCCCTGGCCCAGCTGATATTCCAAATGGTAAGCGAGTATAGGACATTGGCCCTTTAGCCGTACTTATCGTCAAAACATCCCTCGAATCTTTATGAATGGGAATCTGGTTGTAAGCTTGTGCCAGATCAATCTTCGAGAAAATCCCTCCTCCCGCTAACTGAGCAAAAAGATCCTCAACGAGCGGTAGTGGATACTGATCCAGTTTGACGGCACGGTTGGCAGTGAGTTTGAAGTTGGCACATACCCTGATCTCACCAGACTTTTTCAGCACTGGAACCAGTGGTGCAGCCCACTGGCTGTGCTGCACCGGCACCAGGATGCCCGCCTTGACGTCCTTGTCGATCTGCTCTTCCACCTTTTCCCTGTAGACGTACGGCAGGGATCTGGGTCTGAAAAATCTGGGGGGCACAGAACGGTCCACCTCTAGCTTCACCTCGACCCCTTTTAACTCACCGAGACCCGGCTCGAACACTTGACGGTACTTTCCCTTCAGCTGATCGATGGCCGAGTTGAAGACCGCCTTGACCTCGCACCAGTTGATTCGGATGGCCTCCAACCAGTCTCTGCCCAAGAGACTGGATCTGCTGCCTTTCACCACGATCACCTTCATACCAGGGTATGTCATACCATTGTGCTCGACAGAGGTGCAAAATTCCCCGAGCACAGGAATGGGCTGATGTGTATATGCTCGTAGCTGAACCCTACACTCTTTCAGCCTAGGCTTGCAGTTCAACATGCTGAAGGTATTCTCTCCAATGAGAGTGTACCTAGAGCCTGTGTCGATCTCCATTGTCACATCAGTCTGTTGCAGTTTAACATCACACGTGAACGGAAGTGAGCCACCCACCTGTCTGACGTCAGCAGTGCCGGTGTCAGTGGATCGACGGATCTGGCCGACTGCTTCTTCGGCTTCCACCCAGCTCTCCCAGTCCTCTTCATCGCCGGAGCCGGTGACATTGTTGGCCGACTGACGGCGCCTCCCAGAAGTGGCCGACTTCCGTGGGCGGCGCCTGCACGCTCTCTGAATGTGGCCGAACTGGCCACAGTTTCGGCACTTGAAGTTACGGAATCTGCATATATCTGGACTGTGATTCGCACGATTGCAACGCCAGCAAGGCTCTGTGTTCGCCTGCGCTGCAGCAGCATGGACAGTGGCGTGGCCCGTGCCCCCGCACTGACCTGCGATGACCTGAGCGTCCTTACTCGACATCTCGAGCGACAGGCTGACTTGCTGAGCTCTGGAGAAGTCCAGCTGGGGCTCAGCCAAGAGGTGCCTCTGGATGCGCTCGTCAGCGATGCCGCACACCAGCTGCTCCATCAGCCGATCCTCCAGTGTGCCTCCAAACTCGCAGTGCTCTGCTGCCTTGCGGAGCTCGGCGATAAAGTCTGCAACAGGTTGAGACGGATCACGATGGCACTGGCTAAATCGAAATCTGCTCAATATTTTCGATGGCTTGGGGTCTTTGTGAGCTCTCATCACTTCTAACAGCTCTTCAAACGATTTATCATGCAGTGCAGCCGGCGATACTAAACTGCGAAACAATGTATACGCCTTCTTCCCACAAGCAGTCAATAAACGAGCTCTCTTGACGGTACCATCAGCGATTTCCTTACTTTCCAAGAGGAAGACAAAACGTTCCTCCAACTCACACCATGAATCCGTATCGGGATTAAATGGTTCGATCTCACCCATTTTGCTGCAGCAGAAGTCTCGGTGCCCAACGGATTCAATACCAGAGCCGTCCGCGGCGACCGGGACCACGCCTTGTCCAGCACCCGTCCTTTGGCTGTCCGTTTTCCTCGTCGCCAGTTGTAGAGGAACACAGCTGTTCAGTTTGCCACTCTATTTCAGAATGCCGCGCGGGCCGGCTGACCCGCGCAGACGATGACACAGCGGTACAGTCTAACAGACAGGCGCACGCACACCGCGCCCTGCGCACGCGCAGCCGCCGCGCGGCCCCGCGCACGCGCAGTCGTCGCATGGACCACGCTCAATTACCGTATATACACCGCACAAGCTGTGAGCCGAGCTTCATCAGGTCCTGCAACTCCCGTTTGAATGCCTTTGTTTTCAAGCTGGTCTGGTACTCTCTCCCAGCTTCAGTTGGAGTGATGGTCCTGCCTGACATCGACTTGTTGCCTGACATGTCCATCTTCTGACTTCGGCACAGGAAGCCTCCGACAGAAAAGAGTGACAGAGATAACAACAAAGCTGCACTACTTGTAAGACCAGATGACATGAAGTTGTCGAGGTTTGTCAACTGTAGGAAATTAGGACATTCTATAATACAGGATATCTCAGTTAATATTGTTAGTCTCCTTGAAGAAAGAGCGTATCAGTAGGGTCTATACTGTCCCATGAAAAATCTCAGAAACTTATCTACCTACTGTGGCCAATCGTCCTAATGGAATTTTCTACTGATCTGGCCACCGGTTTTTACTACAAAGTGTTAGTCGTTCAGTATGTATTGGGATCATTCAGTAGTGACACCTTGCAGCGATCATTGTGGACCGTGATGACCGTAGAAAACTGTGAAAACACATACAAAAGACAATCAACTCAATGTAGCTTACGATTCGCCCAAGGTCACTGGGGGGAACAGCCACAACAACACGAACTGCACATACCCAATAAACTGACAATTTAACAACGAAAATTATTTCTTAATCAGTCCGCAAGAGACAATTTCAGATAGGTAGCCAGCTGGCACTGTGACAAACGAATATGCATTTATGACAGAGCGAATAAGCATTACACGATTTGTGTCAGTGTATGGCTACTCACTTCGTCCGGGACGATAGGCGACTTTAGTACAAATGTCAGTGACTCAGTATGGTGATACAGCCAACTGCACCGTCAGTATAGCCGGCAATAATATTTCGGCTTCAGTATCGGTCCAAGTGGCAATCACTGTTCAGCAAACCGTACTTCACTGCGCCCCGATCAGGACAGCTCTGATGCCGTTCAACATGCGTCACATATCATTACAAATCGTCTGGGGCGGTCACCTGAAAATAGCAAATGCAGTCGTTTAGACAAAGCAGCCCTCACTCAGGCTCTTGCATAACAAAACCTAAACAACCCGTAACGGCGGGAACACTACAGTATCTTTCAGAATTAGGTACCTATGTCATTTTTGATCAGGCCATCGCTGAGGTCTTTGTAGGTCACCAAAAGTAAAATTTTAATTAACCTTTGCTCCCAATTTTGACAACTTTTCACAAACCGGTGCATAAGTCAGGAACCAAATAGGTAGAGCTGCAGTGCTGCTGCTGCTGGAAAGCGCATTCGATAGCTCTTTCAAAGGCCTTTCTGAGTAATGTTCTCCGATTTTACCTAGGGTCAACGGTTCAGGTTCCAGGTTGGCGTTTTTGCGGAAAAGGTTTTTGTATCATAACTTTTGACTTGAAACTTGTATGAGTTATGACGCTGATTTTACCGGCATCGCGTTTGTTTCGTCGAGACGGGTGGAATGAACTAGGTAAGTAGGTATAAGTTGACCTGAATGATCAGCTTGAAAATTTGACACCTGGTCTAGGTCACGAAAAAGGTCATGTTGCATGTCATTCAATAGTTATTGTTGAGCTGAACACATTCATGGTGTTCTAAGCGCTCTATCACTTGTTTCTACCTAAAGTTATGGTTAAAAACTGTTGGAGATGTTTCATGACCTGAGATGACCACAGGGGCATAGAAGGGGTCATAGGTGCAATTTTCCGATTCATTTTGTCATGTTTACCTGTGTCACGTGGTTTGAATGTGTTTTCGGCCAAAAGAAAAGCATGTCAATTTTCTCCCAATGACTTACCTATACCTACCTAATGGATGTCGCAAAATTGACCTGACATTTTGCGTCCCCGTAGCTCAGTTGGTAGAGCGTAAAGAAAAGCATTTCAATTTTCTCCCAATGACTTATAATGGATGTCGCAAAATTGACCTGACATTTTGCGACTCCATAGCTCAGTTGGTAGAGCGTTGGACTCCGCTTGGTGAGAGCACGCGTTCCCATGACGTTCTTTGAACAGATTTCATTTCACGTGAAATTTCACGTGGAATCGGAAGTCAAGCCGTTCTTTACCGATTCCACGCGGAATTTCACGTGAAATCCCGCGGAATTCCACGTGAAATACGGGAATTGGAAAAGCTTGTCCCGAGCGCTTTTTTCAAGATGGTGACGCCCAGTGGAGGAGGGAATGTGAATGTGTGCGTATGATATGGACTGGTTTTGCGGAATATGTTACTAAAATGTTAGGTACCGTTTTTGCCAAAAACCTTTTTAGGGATTGTTTCCGCTGTTACTAACCAGCAAACTGGTGTGGAAAATGGAAATATTAACCGGTAGGTATTCTTACAAGCTGTGTGCACACCAGAGACTTTTCTATAAAAACTCCATCTGCCTCTTATCACTTAAGATGCATCATGTAACTTACCGACAATACAAGCAACGCTAAGTTCAATGCATGTTTCACAAATCTGGGCATATTACATTTATGAAGCCTCTGCGACAATTACGCCGTGAAATTTCCGTGCGGTCGGCAAAGAACGCATCAGCTGACTGAGCCGTAAAATTTCACGTGAAATTTCCGTGCAAGCCTTAGCCTCCTGATAGGTATGGTTGCGGTTGGTGGCAGGCCGTAGCCAGGCGAAGTCAGTGAGGGGACCGGCCGTGCGTGGCTATGTGCGCACGTTAAACTTTGGACTCTAAATTCTGCCATAGAACTGGAATTGCGCGATCGGAGGGTAGAGGGCAGGGTCACCGCAACAAGCTTCGCTTAGCGGTGGCTCTGTCCAGTGGCGCACCCAAGGGGGGGGGGGGCCCTGGGGCCCGGGCCCCCCCCCCTCCTCGGGTATTTTTAGGAGGCCCCTGAACCTGATCAGAGCTTCGGGTACTTTTAACTCGGGTACTGATCAGTGCTACCGACAGGAGGTCCTTTGGTCAATATAGGAGGCCCTGTGTACCAGCAGGAGGCCCCTTGACAAATAGGGGCCCTCTACCAACAGGAGGCCCCCTGGACAAATTAGAGGCCCTCTTTACAAATGGGAGGCCCCTGTTCAGATAGGAGGCCTGGGCCCTCTACTAACAGGAGGCCCTCTGTACAAATGGGAGGCCCTCAATATCAACAGGAGGCCCCATGTACAGATAGGAGGCCCTCTGTGCCTTCAGGAGGCCCTTTGCACGCATGGGAGGCCCCCTCTGTACATGAATGGGAAGCCTTTGTGCACATGGGAGGCCCTCTGTACAAATGGGAGGCCCTCTGTAGCAACGGGAGGCCCCCTTGACAAATATGAGGCCCTCTGTACCAGCAGGAGGCCCCCTGGGCAACTCAGAGACCCTCTAAACGAGCAAGAGGCCCTCTGTACAAATGGGAGGCCCCCTGTACAGATAGGAGGCCCTCTGTTCCAACAGGAGGCCCCCTGGAAAAATATTAGACCCTCTTTTGCAAATGAGAAGCCCCCTGCACATATAGGAGGCCTCCTGTACAACTGTACAACAGGAGATCCCCTGGAAAATTGACAAACAGAGGCACTCTGTACCCACAGGAGGTCACTGGACGAATAAGATGCCCTCTGTACAAACGGGAGCGCTCTGTACACGTGAGAGACCATCCGTACCAACAGGAGGCCTCCTTGACAAATCAGAGGCACACTGTAGTTTGTACCAACAGAAGGCTCTCTGTACGATAGGAGGCTCCCTTTACATACCTATAGGAGGCCCTCGGTATCGGCAGTAGACCTCTGGTGCTGGACAATCTGAAGGCCATGATGCCATCTGTACAAATTAAGGGCCCTCTGTACACATTATTACTTAAACCGTTTTCCTCTAATTGAAAAAGTTGTTAGTTTATTTCTACACAGACATTGTTCAAATCTTGAAGTGCCCTCAATTTTGCGATTTAGTAGCATCTTTTTAATGACCTTCGCGTCAGCTGAATGTTTACGTTTAACGGCCTTGTCCTTCGGAATTTGGATCGCACGGAGTTCGCATCGCTCCGGTTCGTTTTTTTACAGGTATGTTAAAGATATATAAAGCGTAACGTGAATATGAGGTTTTTAACCTCCCCTGTTCTTGTAAATAATTGTTGACCAACCCATAAAACGGTGACTCTTGCCCACTTTTGCATGATTTAGCATTACCAGTGCAGACGTCCTTCGTCCACTTTCGACGGTTACGTTTGTTTCCAGAGTTTTGAGCCCGTGGCCTTCCGACACTAGCCTGTTTTTTTTTGTGCTGCACCGCCGATTGCATAACATTTGCTCTGAGATGCCCGATCGCAGTGCCGACGTCTTGTACTCTCCCACGCCACGTACCCGGTCGGCACCATATCTTGCTGCTCGCCACCGGAAATGGGTGGCACCATCTACTGGCTGCTGAGTGCACTCAAAATTCACGCTTGGAGCAGGGTGACTCTACTCTATCTACCCGCTACGGGTCACACTGCAAGTTCGTCCTGTCGCAAGGATTGCCAACGCCCAGTCATCGGACCAACTGTCGCTCCCGCTGAGGCCGCTGCCGCTCAGGAGGTCGCACGGCCTCTCGGAATCTTCCGCCTGCCGTCGTTCTGAAGAAGAAGAAAAACACTGGACAATGAAACGATTCCCCCCTCCCGGTCATCCTCCCACCACCACCACCACCATAACGTCGAAGGTATAAGCTGTTAGAGCTATATACCAACTATTTCTACCTACCATTGTGATCCTCTCGTCAAGGCCAACTGAATGCTATGGTATTTGACAAAATTTATAAAATGGACATGGCGTGACCTCAATGACAAAATGCCTTGATTACCTATTATGACTCTTGCCGTTTACTTCGGTCCGTGATGTATGTGATCCGCAGGTGGCATCTTGCGTCAACAATGTGGAAGAACGCTAGTGGCTTTCAAAAGCGAAAAAGGAAACGGCAAAAAGAGGCAGCCGATGAAGCTAGGAAATTCAAAAAACTAGACTCTTTTCTTTTTGGAGAACGCGCTGTTAACGGTCAGTATCCTAAATTTTTATCAGAAGTAATTATCCCAATTTTTGTTTGTAATATATTTGCTAGGAATGCTAGGAATATATTTGTAATACATTTTATCTTTTTGTCGGCCGGTGTGCAGAGGCCGACGAGCGGCGCCACTGCAGACATCGATGACCGGGACTCCGGGAACGGTCAGTATATTGGATAGCTTGATTGGCTACCTGTGTTACCTAACTTACCTGTCCGCTATCGCCACAATTCACAAACGGCTGTTTGAGCTAATTACTGATCGCCGACTCTCCCTGGCAGATCCTCTCCCGTCCTGTTCCGGGTCGGCTGCTGCCACCCGACAGCCGCATCCGCCAGTCCCAGCGGCCGGTGTGCAGAGGCCGACGAGCGGCGCCGCTGCAGACATCGATGACCGGGACTCCGGGAACGGTCAGTATATTGGATAGCTTGATTGGCTACCTGTGTTACCTAACTTACCTGTCCGCTATCGTCACAATTCACAAACGGCTGTTTGAGCTAATTATTGTCTACTGATCGCCAACTCTCCCTGGCACTGGCAGATCCTCTCCCGTCCTGTTCCGGGTCGGCTGCTGCCACCCGACAGCCGCATCCGCCAGTCCCAGCGGCCGGTGTGCAGAGGCCGACGAGCGGCGCCACTGCAGACATCGATGACCGGGACTCCGGGAACGGTCAGTATATTGGATAGCTTGATTGGCTACCTGTGTTACCTAACTTACCTGTCCGCTATCGTCACAATTCACAAACGGCTGTTTGAGCTAATTATTGTCTACTGATCGCCAACTCTCCCTGGCACTGGCAGATCCTCTCCCGTCCTGTTCCGGGTCGGCTGCTGCCACCAGACAGCCGCATCCGCCAGTCCCAGCGGCCGGTGTGCAGAGGCCGACGAGCGGCGCCGCTGCAGACATCGATGACCGGGACTCCGGGAACGGTCAGTATATTGGATAGCTTGATTGGCTACCTGTGTTACCTAACTTACCTGTCCGCTATCGTCACAATTCACAAACGGCTGTTTGAGCTAATTATTGTCTACTGATCGCCAACTCTCCCTGGCACTGGCAGATCCTCTCCCGTCCTGTTCCGGGTCGGCTGCTGCCACCAGACAGCCGCATCCGCCAGTCCCAGCGGCCGGTGTGCAGAGGCCGACGAGCGGCGCCGCTGCAGACATCGATGACCGGGACTCCGGGAACGTTCAGTATATTGGATAGCTTGATTGGCTACCTGTGTTACCTAACTTACCTGTCCGCTATCGTCACAACTCACAAACGGCTGTTTGAGCTAATTATTGTCTACTGATCGCCGACTCTCCCTGGCAGATCCTCTCCCGTCCTGTTCGGGGTCGGCTGCTGCCACCAGACAGCCGCATCCGCCAGTCCCAGCGGCCGGTGTGCAGAGGCCGACGAGCGGCGCCACTGCAGACATCGATGACCGGGACTCCGGGAACGGTCAGTATATTGGATAGCTTGATTGGCTACCTGTGTTACCTAACTTACCTGTCCGCTATCGTCACAACTCACAAACGGCTGTTTGAGCTAATTATTGTCTACTGATCGCCAACTCTCCCTGGCACTGGCAGATCCTCTCCCGTCCTGTTCGGGGTCGGCTGCTGCCACCCGACAGCCGCATCCGCCAGTCCCAGCGGCCGGTGTGCAGAGGCCGACGAGCGGCGCCGCTGCAGACATCGATGACCGGGACTCCGGGAACGGTCAGTACCCGAAGGTTGTTTCTTCATTAGACAAACACTATTCTTTAGAATTGTGTTTTTCTATTGAAAAACAAACTGAGGGTGTTTCCATTTCGGGATAGGATTCGTGTTTGGTGCAGCGAATTGGGGCACCTTGCACCGTTTGCACACGAACCGATAGATTTTGATTAAATTTTCAGGACAGCTGCCCCCGCAGATTATCTACCACGAAACACCCTCAGCTAAGAATATAATTATTTTTCTTGCACGTGACACGTGCACGTGTTTTAGGCCCATAGGCTTCAACATTAGGTGGATTTTCGGCATCGCATTTCTCGCAGACGGGTGTTTGTAATGCGATGAGCTTCTATGGGCTGGGTGGCCGCCCCGGCATCTACCATGAGCCGGCGGCGCCGTTTCGGGTTGTCTCGGGAAGGGGGTGCAAATTGCACGTGCAGCCGCCATTGGTTTAACGTTACGAAATGGGCCAAAACGGTTTTTCTCGATTTGCTCAAAATCGGCTCGATAGATTTTCTTTGTTTTTTGAGTGCCGGTAGTCGGTCATGGAGTGCGTTCGCCAATGTTGATCGCTTGAAATATAATTAACTTTTTTGCACGTGGCACGCGCCCAAATTTTCACGTGTTAAGTCAATGGGATTTCTTGAAAAAAATTACTAAAATCGATTTTGCTCAAAATTCCCACGTTAGATTTTGAAAATGTTACAGTATGATATGCACCCACATGTCGCCTACCACGTGGCATAGGCCATATATGGGGCGATTGAAATGCACGTGCACGCCCCGCACTTGTTTGAGTGGACCACCCCAATGAAAAGTTGACCACTGCTGGTATGATGGCCTGTGCCGCGCAAACAATGCGTGCCAGCGGCACCAATCGAGGGCAGTCGTCAAGGGGATGCTCCAGGCTAGTTGCACACCTCATCACGTGGTGCACGTGTTTTCGCACGTGCGCCACGTGGGTGTAGCATTTTGGGGTAGGTAGCCATTGGTGCATAATTACGCTCAGGTGATAACCTCAATGCATGGGTTTGAGCCAGAGCTCCAAGTCGGTTGCGACAATGACCAATGGTGTTGGGTCTACCACGTGTCAAGCACGTGGCCGCCCGGGGTTCCCCATTCCGGAGATTTTGTGACGGATAGTGAGGTAAGCCCTAATTTAAAGATTGGCCAAGTTTGACCGGCCGCTGGGAGACAATGGTGGCGCACCCGAAAGTCTACCCATGAGCACTGACGACCCCTTTCATATGGTACAAAAGGGTGGTCGCTTTATGTCTTTAGGCCACACGTGGCACGTGGCACCCCACCTCGAGTGACCACGTGCACTCTCAATGTAAGGCGTTTTGGCCATAACTTTGCCATTTATGGGCCGATTTCGACGAAACTTGCAACATTGATGCATTAAAATGACCTGCGCCACATACGGTGCAACGAATGCAATTATCTGATGTGCGCCGTTTTAGTCTCTATTGCGTCATTTTAGCTATACAGTGGCTAAAGTTGAGGAATAGGTATTACGCGTATTTATTTCGACGAGCCGGTTTCGTCGAAACTTGCAACGGTAGTGCACAAAACTATGCTGAGCCACATATGAAGCGAGCCATAAAATAGGCTGTTGTGCGCCATTTTTGCCTCAACTGCGCCATTAAGTGCCTTAACAGGCTAGAATCTTTAATCAGTTTCATGTATTAATAAATTACTGTGAGGTACGCATATACATACATGTAACGCCTCGCGTCACTTTGGTCTTAATGCATTGGTGTTCCGGGCATGGGTTTTGCGCTTTTTTGCGGTGTTCGCGCTTTGCGGCGGGCGGGCGTTTTTTTGCAGTGTTTGTGCCTACTGCCTAGCGGCGGGCGGGCGGTTGATGCGGGTGCTTTTGCGCCCTTTTTGATGTTAGGTTTGTTTTCTGTTTGCGGCGGCCGGGCGTTCTTTTGCGGTGTTTGCGTTTGGTGGCGGCCGGGCGATTTTTAGGCGTTTTCGGTAGGTGGTTAGCGGGCGTGCGATGCGGGCGGTTTATTTTTTGCGGCGTTTTTGCGTTTTTTGCGGCGGTCGTTGGCGTTGGCGTTTCGGGCGTGCGTTTTGCGCGTTTTGCGGTGTTTGCGTTTTGCGGCGGGCGGGCGTTTTGTGCTTTTTGCAGTGTTTGTATTTGGCGGCGGGCGATGCGGGTGGTTTTCTTTTTTGCGTCGTTTGCGGCGTTCAATTTGTTTTCGGTTGGCGGTGGTTGGGCGCTTTTAGGCGTTTTCGGTTGGCGGTTAGCGTGCGTGCGATGCGGGTGGTTTTATTTTTTAGCGGCGTTTTTGCGTTTTTTTGCGGTTGGCGGCGGGCGGGCGTTTGTTTTTTTTTGCGACATTTGCGTTGGCGTTTCGGGCGTGCGTTTTGCGCGTTTTGCGGTGTTTGCGGTTTGCGGCGGGCGGGCGTTTTTTCACAATTCAAAGTCCCAACCTTCGGGCCGCAGCGTATATTGGATAGCTTGATTGGCTACCTGTGTTACCTAACTTACCTGTCCGCTATCGTCACAATTCACAAACGGCTGTTTGAGCTAATTATTGTCTACTGATCGCCAACTCTCCCTGGCAGATCCTCTCCCGTCCTGTTCGGGGTCGGCTGCTGCCACCAGACAGCCGCATCCGCCAGTCCCAGCGGCCGGTGTGCAGAGGCCGACGAGCGGCGCCGCTGCAGACATCGATGACCGGGACTCCGGGAACGTTCAGTATATTGGATAGCTTGATTGGCTACCTGTGTTACCTAACTTACCTGTCCGCTATCGCCACAATTCACAAACGGCTGTTTGAGCTAATTACTTATCGCCGACTCTCCTTGGCAGATCCTCTCCCGTCCTGTTCGGGGTCGGCTGCTGCCACCCGACAGCCGCATCCGCCAGTCCCAGCGGCCGGTGTGCAGAGGCCGACGAGCGGCGCCGCTGCAGACATCGATGACCGGGACTCCGGGAACGGTCAGTATATTGGATAGCTTGATTGGCTACCTGTGTTACCTAACTTACCTGTCCGCTATCGCCACAACTCACAAACGGCTGTTTGAGCTAATTACTGATCGCCGACTCTCCCTGGCAGATCCTCTCCCGTCCTGTTCGGGGTCGGCTGCTGCCACCCGACAGCCGCATCCGCCAGTCCCAGCGGCCGGTGTGCAGAGGCCGACGAGCGGCGCCGCTGCAGACATCGATGACCGGGACTCCGGGAACGGTCAGTATATTGGATAGCTTGATTGGCTACCTGTGTTACCTAACTTACCTGTCCGCTATCGTCACAATTCACAAACGGCTGTTTGAGTATCGAATGCGCTTTTCCGTGGCGCTCAAACTGTAATGGTTCCCGAGTCACGCGCCGATTCGTCAAAAGCTGTTCAACTGGGCAAAATTTGACCTTCGATGATCTCTGGTGACCTGATCTTTGACCTGAACCAAAAAATGACCGAAGATTTTTCTTCATTATTTTTGACGCTCTTTCGAATTTCTACCGCGTGTCGCTACGTGGCTCAGGAGCCGAGTTCGACGGGGGGGAAGCTTGAAAACGCCCCTCCCCCTTCCCTAGCACGGCATGGAAAACTCAGACCAGTAGCACGCGCGGGTTAACATTATATGTACATGATATGCACGATGTCGTCACTAATCGCGTTTAATGTTGAAGTGGGCGAACATTTCCGGTTTCCTTTCAATTGGGGATAGTTCATTACGCCATGTCCCAGCCAGTCGAACGAGTACGTTACTTTCACTTTGGTCTTGCGTCCTTCAATTACGGTACTGCAAACTTCTGTGTCCTTTTCCTCTACATCCTACCTTCCTTTCTTTCAGCGCCTGGATCCTGCAATGCTGTCGCATCCTCTGTGCATCCGGATGACATTGGCAACTACGTCTGCGCGAAACAGCTCCCGTTGGAGGAGAGAAGACGACTTCTGAAAGACCCATGGACTCCGCCGCCATCATACCGATTCCCAGTGGTTCCTGATGCTGGCGGTAAAAATCGGAAGTTCCAGCGAGATCACATCGCTGAGTTTCCCTGGCTCACTTACAGTGCTGTGCCGGGACTTGAAGGCGGCTTTTGTCGATACTGTGTGCTGATGGGGAGGCAAATCAGCGGGAGGGCTTCAGGAGACCAGGCGCTGAGAAGTTTCGTCACTGAGCCATTCAAGCGGTTCAAAGACGCAAAACGGCATCTGCGTCAGCACCAAACCACGGAGTATCATGCAGACGCGGTCACAATGGTTGAAGAAGTCCTGATGGGAAGAATGGGCATCGACGAGCTGGTGGATGGACAGAGGAGAGAAGAAAGAAGGAAGCGGGAACAGCAAGAAGCAGACTACAAGAAAAGACTTCTGCCGGTGATCCAGACTGTGCTGCTCTGCGGTGCTCAAGAGTTGGCACTGCGAGGCCATCGTGACGACGGTCCGCTGGACCTTGATGCCGTTCCGAAAAGAGGAGAAGGAAACTTCAAAGCCTTGCTAAGGTATCGGGCGCAAGGGGACAGGCTGCTAGAAGATAGCATTAGAACAGCCCCGAAGAACATGCAGCTAACGAGCTGGAACGTGCAAAATCAGATTATCCTTGTATGCGGACAGATGATCAAGGAGAACATCGTGGAAAAGATAAAAAAGCAAGCATGTACACGATCATCGCCGATGAGACGACCGACCGAAACAAACGGGGACAGCTCGCTCTCGTTCTTCGGTACGTAGCTGAAGATGGAACGGTGCGAGAGGATATGGTGGCTCTGCTGAACCCTGAGAAGACGACTGGAGAAGCGCTCTCGAAGATGATCATCGACGCCCTACAAAAACTGGACCTATCACTAGATGGCGTGAGGGGTCAGGGCTATGACGGCGGTGGAAACATGAGCGGGCGAATTAGCGGTGCTCAGTCCCGAATCAGGACTCTTCAGCCGTTGGCCGTGTACACTCACTGCGCCTCTCACCGGCTAAACCTTGCGCTAGGTCGGGCACTAACTGTCCCAGGGGTGCGCAACATGCTGGGTGTCGTGTCCGTCGCTTCCAACTTTTTCAACGACTCCGCGGCTCGAGTGCAGCTTCTGGAGGAAAAAGTGGAACAGTTGGGCGAGGAGCAAAAGAAAAAGAGACTGAAGGCGCTGTGCCGAACTCGATGGGTGGAGCAGCACGAGTCCCTGCTGACCTTCGAACAGCTGCTAGTTCCCATCGTCGCAGCACTCGAACACGTTGAGCGGGAGGGAAGCAGCGACGCAGCTCAAAAAGCGTCCGGACATCTGGCAGCGATCACCCGCTTCGACTTCCTAATCTGTCTTGAGATGGCTGTGCTCCTCTTCGGCATCACACTGGGTCTGTCGATCTGCCTCCAAAATCCCCAGCAGTCACTGAGTGATGCCATGCAAAAAATCAACGAAGTCCAGCAGGCAGTGCAAGACGCAAGAGAAGAGTTCCCAGCTGTGATGAAAAAGGCTGCTGCACTGGCTGACAAGCTGGACATACCAGTCATCGCTCCGAGAGGCTCGTCTCGACAAGTGCACCGACCTAACAGCTCCGTGTCATCAGATCCAGAGACGAACTACCGGATCAACGTGTTCAACCCTTTCATCGACCAAATGATCAAGGAGCTGAAGGAGCGCTTCCCGGAAGATCATCCTGGCCTGCAACTGGAGGGAGTCCTTCCAGCACGCATAGGGACCGCTGACCTCTCCGCAGTTGTCGAGTGTGCTGAAGCGTACCACAAAGATCTGCCGAGCCCAGTCAACCTCCGGTCGGAACTTGTGCTTTGGCGTGCCATGGTAGCATCAGCAACCAACCGCCCACAGACTGTGGGAGACGCATTCCGGATGGCGGGCTCACTTCCGAACGTCAAGACACTGCTTCAAATCCTCATGACCCTCCCCGTCACAAGCTGTTCTGCAGAACGAAGTTTCTCGACACTGAAGCGTGTTGAGACTGAACAGCGGACAACAATGGGAGAGAGCCGGTTGGAGAGCCTCATTCTGATGAGTGCACACGGCGTGGCCTCGCTGAATCCGTCCATGGTAGCAGACCGCTTCATGAAGACGCGCCCCCGGCGCTCAGTTTGATTGAGTCCAGCTCTCTCAGAGGTGCTGTCGACTGGTCGCACCGGTGAGTGTTCAGTGAGGCTTCAGGAATATATCTGTTGACTATTACCTTTTGCCTCTCAAAGATGACATGTTGCCACAGGCACAGGTGACGACACGACGTCAATGCAAACAAAAGCATGCAAATCTCAAAGGTAATGAGATTTGTTCATTGAGCTTTGTGTACTTATCTACTGATGGGATAGGGTGAGTTCTATTCTGGGTAGAGCGCTTAGTCGTTACGTAACGTTTTAGGGCGTTAAGAGGGTTACCAGAAGGCCTTCCAGCACGACAACGTTTGCTGGCTATTGAGTCATATGCTTACAGAGCCAATGAGTTTAACTATTTAGTGAGATCGCTAAGAACGTCACCTATCATACAAACAGCCGTCACAAAGTTAGCGAAATGGAGGCCCCCTCGCTAGACAGAGGCCCCCCGGCAACCGGAATACGGAGGCCCCTGTTCGCCCGGGCCCCCTCCCCTGGAAAATCCTGGGTGCGCGCCTGGCTCTGTCCTTGTGAGTCCTTCCTATCAGAAGGTTCGGACTAAATTTTTTCTAAACATTAGGTCACCGATGTGAAAACTTTGAGATATACGAATTGTTCATACTGATTTCCTCATGCAAAAGCTCGAGTTTCAAACTTCAATTCTGGGATAAAACTGTAGGAATGACAGAGTCACAAAGTTTTTTGGAGGCATGGCTACTTTACTTTACCTGGTGACCTGACCTTAGGTGACCTGGTGTCAAAATTTTCACACATGATGCGAAATTGAGGTATCATAAGCCATACCAAATTTCGCGGCGGTGCGCGCCGCGGTTTTTCTTACACGCGCAAAAAAAAAACTGGCGGGTGTGGCCAGAAACACCCCCTCCCCCCCCCCCCCACTTGGGCGAAGGCTGATCCTGAAATATAATATTTGGTCTTCGCGGCCCTCCATGTGGTCCCCAGTAACTTCAGAATCGTGGTTACGCGCCTGCTTATTCTCCATATCAAAATCGTACCCTATTCCAGGGCGCCACTCCACAACCGGCACCACCGAGCCTGCGTGTGTTTTGTATTTTGCATTGGGCAATGGTCTCAGTTTGATGATGAAATCAGTGACATTAAATAAACTCTTAGCGTATGGAATCTCAAATTTTATTTTGAAAAAAAAAAACAAAATTTAGTCATGTCGGTCATACTGTCATATCGTCAGTCATGATAAAACGTTGATAAATGCGTAATTTACTTGATTGAAAAATACGTGAATTATACTGGTTTTATTTAGTGGTTGGTTTCATTATCATTAAATCGCACGCCAGCGCAGTTCAGACATTTGTGGCGCGTAACACCAGCGTGCTCGTTTCTTGATATCGCTGAACTCTATCTTGATATTTTTAATTTGCATATTTCAATTAGAGGTCCATTACGAATACACTAGATACGAATTTTGACTTGGTATTTATTCCAACGGCATTGGTGAGCGTCTTATGCATGGGACCATTTGTTTATTGCTAGTGTTTTCTGATCTTTTTCAATGGGGTGTGTGAGGAAAACTCAACAGGTTCATTTAAATTTCAGTCTCAGTCTTGCAAGCAAGGCCATATATAGAGCTTGCAAGTCTGCTCTCATAAACCCAAATGCATCAATGATCAAGGCTGGAGAGCAGTCCATTTCTGTTAATTGTTAGAAGCGATGAAAGCTTGTTTTATATATCCTCGGATAAAGATACCCTACAAAGAATACTTAAGTAGGCTCATTCATTACCCATCGGTTCATCTGTTCGGTTTGGGACAGGTTGATAATGTTTTTGCACAGGCCTCTCTAAAATGTCTTGGATGGGCTGCTGGTAAAAGTATACATTAAGTCCGAGTGACTGTTAAAAGATAAAGTTTTCATATTCTTACATTATTTGACTTCCTGAATCCAAAAATGATACTTATATGTCCTGGAAAAAAGAAAAACATAATCAAACCTGACCTAACCTTACCTATTTACCTACTACCTACCTACCAACCTACAACCTACAAACCTACAACCTTACCTAACCTAACCTAAAACCTAAAACCTACAAACCTACAACCTAACCTAACCTAAAACCTAAAATTTTTGCTGTTACATATTTGTATCAGCAGCGTCACAATTATCCACTCGGACCTAATATATACTAATACCGGGCTGCTTAGTGCTCGTGCTAAGATATTTTTGTTTTATTAAAGACTTTTTTAGTGCATTCTTGGGTGTGCAGTACCTCAGTTGAGATGATGCTCTAGGTGTTTGACATATAAAACGGAATGCGGAAGCAGTCCTTCACAGATTGAAATGATCAGTCTTCTCCCATGAAGCTATGGTATTTCGTCTTGAGTTTGTTTTATTTGTTTCAGCCTCAATAACAGACACAGAAGTACACAATGGGCTACGGAGATAGGGGAGGAGGAAGAGGTGAGTGATTGGCCATTATTTACTGGATTTTTAATGGTCTTGTAAAGAGTTTGTTTCAGCTTTGAAGTCCAGACATTTGCAGGAGTTAGGATTGAAGTTTTATTCATTCAGTGGGGATTTGATGAAGATGCCTTGCTGGAATGTCAACCCCTTTTTCATAATGCCACCAATGTCTGCAGTTATGTTGTGGTTTCATCAAGCTGACCTGTTTGGTTTTTCTTTGCTCCAGGTGGCTTTGGAGGCAGAGGGAGAGGTAAGTGTCAAAACAGACTGATTTGAAGCTAATGCTGGGCTATACTTGCGTAATGCGTACCTCTATGGGAAATTTTAACTTATGTATGCCACTGACACCCAAACATTTTTGAGGTCTCTTACTTAAAAACTGGTTATTCGAGTCTAATTGAAAACTGGTATGCTAGAGAGTGGATAACCAGAGCCTCATGTGTTTATAAACAGCTTAACATGAGAACATTTTAATTATGCATTAATTAATCCTCCTTTGGTAAACCCAGCCCACTGATTTTGTGTTCAAATAGGACCCTTAGTGGACCAGGCAGTATATTCTTTATACCTCTGTGGTGGTTTTGTTCCCTGACGTCCTTTTTCCATTTGTTGCAGGTTTTGGGGGTGACAGAGGTGAGATGACCAACTCGTGCCCGGCTGTTTCATGGAGACATTGAATGAGGGGCTGAAATTGTGGCCTTGTTAAATAACTTTTACTGTGCACGACATGTGTTAAATATTTTTTTCCTTAAATCCTTGAGGCATTTCGCTTAATTGCATTAAAACTTTGTCATTTTTGATTTTATTTTACATTTTTCTCACTGGGGTATTGGGTAGCTTTGGCTTCTCCTTTAACATTCATTCATTGTCACATTTAGCTAGTGTAGGGTAGGCATGACTGCATTGTTTTACAATTCGCTTTACCTTCGCTCCCTTACCTTTACCTTTACCTTCGCTCCCCACTCGCCTACCGAGGGTGGGTGCGTGTTCGTTTGCCCTGCACCCTATCAGCCTGAATGCTCTGCACCGCATCGTGTCAAGCATGCGAAACTCCCCGGCTCGTGGTGCGGACGGTCTTTGTATCCGCATCCTGAAGCTCTCCTTTAACTCCATAGGTCACGTTCTTTTATTCCTCGTCAACTCCTGCATCACATCCAACGAAATCCCTGCCTCCTGGAAACATTCCCTCGTGTACCCCATTCACAAAACCGGTGATCCTAACAATCCTTCAAACTTCCGTCCCATCTCCATCGTCCCAGTCATCGCCAAAATAGTGGAGAGGGCGGTCCAGCGCCAACTCTACTATTACCTATCATCCAACCATCTCCTTTCCCCCACCCAGCACGGCTTCCGCCCGCGGCACTCTACGGAGACGGCGCTCACCCTCATCAGTGATCACTTGCTTTCGGCGATCGATTCCGGTAAAATCTCTCTCCTCTGTTTGATCGACCTCAGTAAATGCTTCGATGTAATTAACCATGGGAAACTTTTGGAAAAACTTCGGACTCTAAATATCGACATCTCATGGTTTCAAAATTACTTGCACGGTCACACACAGAGTGTCAGCTTCACTGGCTCTGATGGCAAGGTGAAAACTTCCACTCCACGTCCCATAAATCAAGGAGTTTTTCAAGGTTCTTCTCTCGGACCGATCCTTTTCTGCGCGTTTGCAAATGACCTGAGTCTTCATGCGGCGGATGCACTCGTCGTGCAATACGCCGATGATACTCAGTTCATGGTTTCGGAACCAAAATCTGCTCTTTCAACACTTATCGTTCGCATGGAATCCGCTCTTGCCTCACTTGGAGATTATTTTCTTAGCAACGGTTTAAAAGTTAACGTAACCAAGTTTGAACTTCTTACCATTGGCTCACGACAAAATCTGCGCTCACTCCCAAAATTCACTGTCAAGTTTCGCGACACCTCCCTGACCCCTCGTCCTGAGGCGCGAAACTTGGGAGTTATCTTTGACCAACAACTGACCTGGGACGCTCACGTGTCTGCCGTCTCCCGAAAGTGCTGCGGTATCCTTGTCAGCCTTTCCCACATACGTCACTACCTCCCGCCTGAAATCCTTCCTCAAACCATCACATCCCTAGTGTTCTCGCACATCCGCTACTGCCTTGTCGTGTACGGTTCTGGCGCAGCCGGAAACCTGCACCGCCTTCAAAAACTCATCAACTTTGCGGCTCGAATTGTTTCCGGAAAACGTAAATTCGACCACGTTTCAAGTGTGCGGGAGGCGCTGGGATGGTTTGACGCTCCTGACCTCTTCCTTTTCCAGACCCTCTGCCTTCTCCACAAAGTCCGCCGCACCAGTGGGTCGGAGAGTCTTGCCGACCTTTTTACCACAAACCGCGACATTCCCGATCGTTTGCGACACACCAGACAGGACAATCTTTTATCTCTACCAAGAGTCAGAACGGAAACCGGGAAGAGGCGTTTCGCGTACCGCGCAGTTCTGGAAATGAACAGACTTCCATACGACTGCGAGAATATGTCAGTCGGGAAGTTTAAGAGACAGCTGCAGCGGCGGCTCCTCTCTCAGGTCACTTGAAGCTGATTTTAGTAGGAATAGGCGCGTATGTATGTTTTTGTTTTTTATTTGTATGTGTCGCGTTTTACCCTCGCTTTATGTACCTCATATGACTAAGAACTGTAAAAACCACATCCGTGTGGATAGTTCGTGCCTTTACAAATACAAAAATAGTCCTAGATATTACAGTTCAGACACGACGTTATGTCACTCCGTCGTCATGACGACAGGCGTGTGACGTCACTATGTCGTTTCCAGGCCGCGGCGGTCGGGGTGGACGCGGCGGCGGCCGGGGCGGCTTCAACCAGGGCCCGCCAGAGGAGGTGAGATGGCACGCTTGACGTTAGCCCAGGTTAGGTGAGCCAGGTTATAATAGCTTGGTCTGATAGTTCGCTGGCATGTAAGCGATGTATTTCGGGGACAAGGTGTATAGTAAAATGCAGCTGTTGTTGTTGTTGTTGTTGTTGTTCCCTCCGGCCCCCCACTAGGGGGGCGTAGCCAGACGGCTCAGTTGGGCTCGAAAGTCGGCGG